TATATTGTACCAAACCTTGCAGCACCAACTGTACAGTATTTTCTCTGCTGATTCTTGCGATACCTTTGCGTAGACGTACGTATTTGCACAAAGAAAAACAAACTGCTGTTGCAGTCCTGTGATCTGTGAATGTTTTAATTACCATGACGGTAATTCCAGCTCACCAACAGACTACTTATCTTACCTCTACCACTGCACTAACCATTTATTTTAGGTCCTGTTAAAGGTAAAAAGACTAACTGCTCTGCAGGTATGCTTGACCACTTATAATTAGTCTTCCTTAAGTTGTGCAAAGAGAAACTGCACTTAATTGGCTTTCCTTAAATTAGGATTGATATACCAGCCTGTATATGTTGACGCTGTCGTTACTGTCTAATAAACTAAGTGCTCTATTCTGCAATTTTTTTTCCCAGGTGGTTGATTTGCAAGATGGGAGACAGGGCCAGCATGCGAGCTTTGGCTTTGGCGGTGCTCTTGTCACTGCCTCGAGGCTGGAAGTGGCTGGGTCAGTGCTCCCGGGTGCTACCTGGGGCTGGCAGGGTCTGGGCGGTCTGTGTGGCACGTGCTTTCCTGAGTCTTGCTTGCAGGTCCACCACGCTTAGTGCAAGCTGTTCCCCTGATCCTCCAAAACTCTTGCAGGTGTTGCCTTACTCTGGTGCACAAAACCTCTGACCATGAGGAGGAGGGAGAAAAGATTTTATTCTTCCATCAACAGAAACTCCATGCCAGAGCAAGTCCACCTCTGCAAATCTGCATTAAACATATATTTTGGACGAAGAGGCTGCTGTAAAAAGTGGAAGTTTCCACACTGAAATGTTTGTTTTCGATCAGTGCTGGGGGTTTCTTAAAGGCACATGTTTATCTCTGGTCCTTTCCAACTTGAAGACCAGAAAATCTCTTAAGTCTGTGTGTGTGTCTATCTCCTAAACCATTTTCCTTTAACTAACCAAGTTGTGTGTATGTTGGAATGAGTGTACTTGGAACATCTCATTACTTCTACAAAGTATGTTTTGACAATTTGAAATGAATAAAACAGATTTTTATTAGGTGTAATGACAATGAGAGATGGCTCCTTTGGGGCTTTTAAGGAAGAGGGAGAGGGGCATGATCAAGCTCCTTAACCCATAAGGTCACCTTGGCGGCCCTCCAGTAACTGCAGACGGCTGCCAATTTGTATTTACCTGTGGTCGGTGCAAATTTGCATGAATGTAACTGGGCTATTTGCTTGTTCTTAAGCAACATCTTTGTTAGCAGGTGCATAAAAAGTGCTATTGCCTTGAACTTTAGACATACAACTCACTGCAGGTTGGTTTTGTTATTGATCACGGTCAGAAATGTGGTCTGATCTCTCTGAGATCCCTTGTGCCACAGCCTTTGGGGTATTGTACAGCCAGACACTATGGTCAGGGGAGGAATTTGAACGGCTCCTTCCTCTTCACAGGGTGGACTTGCCACATAACTGGGAGCAATGTTATTTCTTCACCCAGATGGTTTTTGTCAGCTGCCTCCAGGGTCCTCCCTGGGGGTCTGTACAGGAGTGACTGGTGTAGGTGCCAAGGGAGGGGACAGCTTGCTGAGCAGCGGCACCCAGCCTTTCCTCCTCTTGCTTTTCATTGCCTTGCACCGATTCTCTCTGGAACGAGAGGCGTCTCTCTGCAACATGCTGGAGATAAAATGTGATACAGTAGGGCTGGAGGAAAAGTGGAAGGAGATAGCTGAGAACATGCCTTCCTCAGAGACCTTGCCCTGGAGGAGCACGTGTGCGGGTTGCTGCGCTCGGGCTCAGTGCTGCAGTCCCATCACTTGATGGATTGTTTTCTTTCCCACATGCCAGCCCCGGTTCCTATAGCCATCTGAAACTTCTCCAGAAATAAAAACTGAAAACCAGAAATATAATTCATCACACTTAATAATGCAGTTACTGGTGAGCGGAATTCGCTTAGAAAACTTCAACAAGGTGTACTCCTGTGTGCCAAGATTATCTCACTGCTATAAACTTTGAGCTCTGCTTGCAGATCGACTTCTCTTGTCCCATTGACTACCTGGCCATTGGCTCTGCAACACTTCTGCACAGTCCTTATGCCAGGGAGTATCATTCCGTGTGTTACTTGTTCAGTGACTTTCTTACCTCACCTTGCAGTCTGTGCCCAGAATAAACTGCCTGTGACAAGCTACAAGTTCAAGTCCCTTGAGTAGTTTTAAAAGAGAAGCAGATCTGAGCCTGGTGGTAAAACATATCCCAGCTGTGCTGCATGTAGAAATGCTGGTGAGAAATGCTAAATCAGTATTTGTCTGGACGCCTCTTCAGCTTTGCATCTGTGAGTTTAAGTATCTCAGATGGCGAGCTGTGTCTGTGCCTGCAGTTTGTATGCTGAGAGGCTGCTCAGAGCCCGGCCAGCGCATCCCGACAGGCAGCAGGCTGTGCAGGAACCCCTGCCCAGGGAGGCTGGGGCTGCCCTGCCGGCCCCACAGGTTCGGGCTCTCTGAACTGGGGCCACCGCTGACCTCTGTAGTAGATTTGGCTGGCCAAATGCATCTCAGCAAAGCAGCCCCTTAGGTCCTACCATTGTATAAATGTGTTCAGATTTTGGCACCCGTGTATTTATGCTCGCTTCTTTCCAGGGCAGGCTGCAAATATGCACTTTGTTGAAACCAATCTGCTAATTTTTGAACTGCCTGGAGCTACTATTCGCAATGGGTGGCAGATGCTTGTGGTTGCAGGCCCTGAACATCTGGGATAAGCTCTAGTCCCCTGACACAGGAACCCATGTTCTCTTTGAAGAAGCTCTTAAGCCTTTTTCTTGCTCACTTGTCAGATAGCAAGCCATTAGTATCCATTCAGTGCCGTTTGCTCTTTTAAATGAAGTAACTTAAAGGGATATTTACTAGTTGTGGCTGGAGGGGGACTCGCAGTGCCCTGATGCTGTTGCCTTTATACCCTGTGCATTTGTGGGACCTGGTGTAGCAATACCTGCAGGTTGGCAGACGTACCTGCCCCCGTACTGGTTATAGTATAGGTGTCTGTGTATCTGCGTACACATGGCTCCCTAAAGAAAGTTGTACGATACCTTGGAGTGGAGGTATCCTGAAATTCGATCCTTAGGTGGAATTTTAAGGAATATATATTTATGGAAGTAAGGTTGCTTGCAAGCCTTTAAAAATCGATTGATTCCCAGTGCTGGATAGCCAGGCAGCCACAGATCGAAGTCCCGGTGTAGTTGAAAAGAGTTTATATCTTTCAATGTCACAGTCTCTAATTTGTTTAGATGCATGCGAAGGATCAGAAACTAATGTGCATCTGGGGATTAAGGCAGCTTTGCTATCCAATCTGAAAACTAGCATATTCTAAAAGATTTTCAAAGTCTCAGAAGGCAGTGAAGTACTTTACTGATTTTTATGTCTTTGAAAATCTCTATTTAGTGTGCCTGGTGGAATTATATAAATACATGCTGCCGGCTGTCTGACACCAACAGATACCACCCAGAGCATTTAAGTACTGAAGTGGTAGGCCTGCGAAGATAGAGATGTTACTCTTGCTGTGTGAGCATCCATGCAAAAAGACTAAGACTTGCTAATTCCACGTGACACTTGCTCCTTTAAAAGTTTGCTGTAATTTTTCCCCTCCCACTTCTCCTACCCCAGGAGTATACCAATGGTTATGCTGTAAGAAAAATAATATGTGTTTTCATTATACATCTCTAGAAGGGAGTTGCCATCATGTTATGAGTTTTTCTGAGACAAAGAGGAAAAAAAGAAAAGAAGCAGTCTGGTCTCTTCCTTGGCAGCATCAGCCTATACCATTGTGCTTGGGGATCTTTCAACTAGGGAGGAGCCGAACTTATTCTAAAGGTTAAGATAAAAGGAAAATAAACCAGCAAACTCGTTCCTTTACTGTTTTCACTGCTCTTCAGCTCCAGTCCCACATTCCACATACTGCTTGGGTGAACCCTGCTGTAGTCCAGGGGCCCAGGCAAGAAGTTGCTGTAGAGCAGCCCAGGATGAAGGGAGACCCTGAAGCAGGAGTTTAGGAAGCTTTATTTGTTGAGAGCTTCAGGTTTTGGGTTTTGCTGATGCCAGGCTCTGCTCTATTAAATGTGATGATTCCTGAGTGAGGTGCTCTATTTTGTCTCATCTACGTGGCCCCAGACCATATCTGTGATCCATCTTGGTATGTTCCCAGTGTTCCTGCCACCCACCACTATGGGACATACATATGTGAGCCTTCCAGCAGGGCTGCATATTCCAGGTACCACCTAGTACAGCATATGTGAAAGGGCGTTCAGCTCTTCCTAAGCACTAAGTTGATTTGCTAGATCTAATTAGCTGATTTGGAACTCTTTCTTTCTATAACTTTCGTAGCGTTTCTGATTGGACCTGCTTTTCTCCTTCGTGCATAATAGGCAATGTAGGTACTGTAAAGTACTGCACCTCTTGGGTGTCTTTACTGAGACCAAAACTCTCACTCAATTTTATTATCATTCAGCTTGGTTTGTAAATGTTTCACTGCCTCTGTTCTGTGCTAGCTGTGCTCGTGGAGTTTCAGATGCTGCGATATCTACTCTTATGCATGGGGATGGGGGTTATTTGTGTTCCATTTAGCTTTGCAATTAGGAACAATCTATTTTTACTCTAGCTGCAAGGCATCAAGACTTCTTCCTGCTTGTTTCTTTGGAGTGAACTTGATCGGCTAAATTGGTTAGTTTTTCTGGAGGAAAATCAGTAACAAAATGAAAGCTGTTAAGAGCAAGCAGTTAAACCAAAAAGAAAAATTCAACAACAACAAAAAAAACCCAAAGGAGATTCATTTGTCTAAAACATATATTTATTTTTTTTTTATATTAGATTTAGACTTTCAGATTAGATTGGAAGACGTTTCAACAGACAGAGTCTTCTGAAAGCATGGTTGTTGTTGTCTGGATGTATCTGATGGTCTCTGTGTTTTGATACCTTCTTCATGACTGGAAGATAAATTTTGCTTTTCTTCTTTTTTCCTTGGATAGGAAAGAATGCATTTTCACCATCGACCCGTCAACTGCCAAAGATCTTGATGATGCTTTGTCCTGTAAACAACTCCCTGACGGTATGAGATATATTTTACGAAATACTTCTCAGTGTTTATATTCAGCCGTTGATACGTTCGTATATATAATTTGTCATGAAGTATTCTTTACCAAATATGAGTAGACTAATAAACTAGTTTTTCTCTTGTTGTTTTAATTGCCTGTTTTCAGAAATCTTAGAGCAGATATCTTCAAGCTGCATTCTGAAGTAGTCTTGGTGTCAGGAAATGCAGAACCGTAACGTTTTGCATAATCAGAGCTGTAATTTGGTTTGAGCAGATCTCAGCTGTCTCCTGTCATTACAGGAGTTACAGCTGAATAGCTAATATGCCACTCTTGCAGACTGAAGTCTTGTGAAACTTTGATCTTGAATACGCAGTCCCTGGGTAAAGGAATCCAGTTTTTTGAAGGTCACTGGCTGAATTGCTTTTTGGTGTTTATGGGATGCTGGGAATTGTCAGATGAGCAGAGTCTGCCTTATAAGTTGCGTTATTCTTCTCATTGCCTTTTAAGCTTTCTGTTCTGCCTTATTTGTACTTTTACTATGCTGTAAGCCAACAGAACAGAAAGTAAAGCTCCAGAAGCCAAATCTTGATGATTCTGACTTAAGGAACTTCCCTCTTGTAAGCTTACTTTGCGATCCAAGTTCTGCTCATTTAGTGTGATGAGATCCAGTAACAGGCTTGGTTAGAAATATTGCATGGTTTGATTAGCTTATCCACCACTAGTAAAGAAGATAAAGTGATTTTTTGTGTGTGTGTTTAGTTTTTCTTGCTCTTGTTAATCATCACGATATGATGATATCAAAGACATCATTCCGTTTTTTTGGATTGATTTCATTCTGTGCAATGTGGCCAATGAATTGTCATGTCATTTAGACCCAGGTACAGAATAGTATTACAGGGCTATAAAACTGATAAAAAAAATCAGAGATGAAAGAGAATTTGAGGCCAATAAAATTAATTATCCTGTACAACAGCAGTTTTGAGGCAAGATTAAGGAAAAATTGCTATTCTATTTCACAGAAAATTTAAACAGTCTTCTTGAGAGATCGTAAGCTGAACTCTGTTCTCCCTCTTTCCACTTTGTCATCTGAATTACTGTAGAGTTATGACAGTGTTGTGATCCCACAGCCCCTCAGATCAAAGGTCATCTTTGACTTCTGAGCTTTTACTGCTTGCATACATGTGGGTTTTAGATGCTGCAGGAAACCATTCACTGAGCTGTTTTGTGGTGCATACATCTGCATTTTCTCTTATCCGTAAGCCGTTTAGTGAAAGTGTTCAAGGAAAATATCTGTTTGAACAAGAATTCTTCTTTCCCAGAAAGTCTGCAAAGCCATTGCAGGGCTGTCACTCATACTTGGGACTTGATGATATATCTGCTGATCAGGGATGTGGCCACACTTTGAAGTCTGCCTTGTCTCTCCAACCCCAACTGCAGAAAACACTGTATGAGGCATTTTCTGCAATCTATATGGAAGGAGATGTACCAGTGCAGAAGGGATCCTCTGGTTGTAACGTCCAGCCAAGAGGGTTCTAGGTGTTACTGGGATGTTACTTAATTGCGGAGCTCTGCAGTGCTGACCCATGCCCTGATCAAGCTTTATTGGAACAAGTCCTTCTCATGCAATCCAACTGAGAAAAAAAAACAGAATTGTTTTTTTTTTAAAAAAAGTTGCCTTCTGAGTGGACATCATTCATGTGCTTTGCCAGTCTTCCCTGCTTTGTTACTTTTTGCTCTTCTCTGTACAGGCATGAGGCAGAGGGAGCTGCCTGCATGTCGGGAGAAAGCAAATATCCAAGTCCTCTTGGCCTGATTATTTCTGACTCATCCTTCTCCCAGGGGTTGTGTCAGGCCTGTGCTGGCATCCCGGAGCCTCCAGATGAAAGTTTTCCCTGCCCTTCCCTGATCTTCTATGAAGGCTAAGGAATATGTGAAAGGATCTTGTCAAAGCCATGCTTTCAGGGATTGTCTTTACCTGTGTATAACACAGGAGCAGGCACAGCGCTGTCTCCCAGGATACCCTGTTACTTCAAAGGTGATCTCTGATGCACTTACAGAGTGGACAGAGGATGCTTCTGCAGTCAAAGATAAAAATTGCTTTTCTCTGGAAGACCAGGCAGTTGGGAAAGAAAGGTAAAATGAATCAGACTACAGGGTCACTGTGCCTAGAAAAGGTTTGCAAAGCTCAGTTTTTCAAACAAAACAAAAGTGGAAGATGCAGGAACCATTCTCCTTTTTCAGTTCCCCAAAATAAACTTCACCAGTGTGTTTTAGAAGAGGCATGAAGAAACCAGGAAAGAGTAGGGGACAGGGTACAGCTGCCTTCCCAAGAGTAAAAGTAAAGATTTGCTTGACTTGTATCCAAAATGTGTAAGATGGGAAATCCAGTGTGGATTTAGTGCTTTCAAAAGTTTCACGTCCTTCTCAGGATCATTGTGCCTGCTCCCCTTTCCTTCAGGTGAGTCTCAGAGGAGAAAATCCAAGAGGCAGACAAGTGAATGCACCCGCTGGTGGCTGTCCCAGCCCAAAGGCCTTTGTTGACCCCCACGTATCATCTTCCATGAACCATTAAGTGGGAGCCTGCTCACAGCAGCCCTTTGTGTGCCAGATCTCTGCCTTTTGGCTGGAGCCGTGCATCCTCCAACAGGCTTGCTCCACCTTGGACTCCTCTCAGAGAGAAAATGCCCAGAACTGGAGCCTTCTTTAAGAGTGATCTTACCTGTGCCCATGCTGGGCATCGTGCACTTTGTCTCTCCTTTCAGCTTCCAATCTGCTGTGAGAGTGGTGCCCATGCTCCGTCACAGCACTGCCTCAGCCTTAGGCCAAGGAAAGTCACCCCCTGGCAAAGCCAGGTTTGATGCTGGTGAATATCCCAGGGACCAGGTTTTGAATCAGTGTGGAAAGAACCACCATGGAAATACCCTTTCTTCTTTTTTTTTTTAAATGTGTGGTGTTTATTCTGAGGAGACCTTGTGGCTCAGAAGGAAGTACAGACAGGAAACCAGGTCCTGATGGTCTTTGATGCAGTTATGATCAGTTAGGGAGGGAGCTGAGGAGCTGAGTGGGAGCAAGCGACATAAAAAGGCTGCAGGAAACTCCTCTACATCCTTTGAGCAGGCATGGCAGCTGGCTGGCCAGCTCAGCGTGGGTCCCCAAGCGGGCAGAGGAAGGAAATCTTAGCGTTGTATCTGTGCTGCAGTGTTTGTTTAAAACATGAGATATCTCTGAAGCAGCAATGTCCAGTCTGGTCACTGGAGTGATCTCCATTTTTAAGGCTCCCGATGTCTTGCAGGGAGATGCTTGCAGAATCTTTTTAGTGAAGGTGAGTAATAAAAGCAACTGAGAACTGAACTGATGGGCTCTTGTTCATTATCCTCCCAGTGTGCTGCTGTTTGAGGCACAAACTTGATCCAGCATTTCATGGACCTTTTCTTCTGCCAACTGTGGTTCAGCATATGAGCTGATATGCTAAATTCCAAAGGTTAAGTTTTTCAAATACTTCCTGATCTGGAGAACCCAATCAAAACATTATTTTGTGAGCCTCCTGTAAAGGATGTCTGTTTCACATGCAGTTGGCAATATAAGCTGTATCCTGTGCCCCTTTCTAACGTGTCATCTTGGAGATACAGCTGCAGAGCTTGTTGCCCAAGAGACAAGGTGCTAGGTCCTCAACCAGGGAATGAGCATCACGTAGTCTCTGTTCCTAGCAGGAGGAAGTGACAGAAATGTGCATATTTGTATTACCTGACATATGTACGCTTAATTGCAGTCCTTATTTTGCATCCTGATGGGGGATTAGCATTTAGAGAGAGTTCCATCAGCCTGTCCCTGGACATGACTGGGCTCTGTCTAGCTGGGGAGACTCTTCTCTTCAGCTTGCAGCATTGGGGACTTCAGCCCTCAGACCTGTCCTTTGCAGTTGGCCGCAGACACCCAGATCCATCTTGTATGACAAGTTCCTGGGACATTTTCTTGCATGCAAATTGAATCTCTGTGGATTTGTTACTTTTTTGGCCCACTGTGAGATGATAGCCTTACTTAGTGATTTTCAGCCTGTGGTCCACTGACTACTATAACACTATGTTGATTACTATTATAGGCCCATGAAATGTGGCTGGCAAAAGCAGGGATATAAATCCATCAGCATATGTGAAATTTTTAAAGATATCTGTACTTTGACTAAAAATTTTTCAGGAATTTGCAAATTTAGAAAGGTCCAAAACCATTGCTGGGAGTCCTTTGGGTTCACTTCTTTGTGTTCACTTGCTTGCAAAGCTACAGCCATTCCCAGCTCTTCGGTGTTAAGGAGAGCCCCTATGGGAACCTCAGTCTTGTGCTTAACAGAGCCTCTTGATATGTCTTGGAGGTACCCTGAGGCTTTTTGGCTTTAAAAGTTGCTATGCGAGATGCAATTATTATGATGAAGAGTTGTTTTAGAGGTTAAGAGCTTATCCAGGGCTGGCAAGGCTGCATCTCTCATGAGGGTAAAGTTGTGTTAAGAGTTAACACAGCTTTTATTCCCAATGTAAACATGGTTACAAGAAATTATTATTTTTTCCATCTTTTTTGCCCATATGTAAAACATTTAAAAAAAAAAACACAACCCGACACCAAAAAAATCCAACAGGAACAAACCACGTATCTGGCATCCTTGTGATGTAAGGAGATCTCCAACAATCAACAGAGATTGCAGAACCCAATACAGAAGATGTCTCTCTCGGTGTATAGCACCCATAGTAACCACAAGAAAAAAGAAAGCACTGGTTGCCTGCACTACTTCTATCAGACAGCTAAATAAGTGCATTACAAAAGATTTGGAAGAATGAAATTGTCTTTGTCCTCAAGCATTCATTGCTAATTTATTGAAGACTCTGACAGTTTCTTTGCCTTGAAGAATCTTAGGCAACAAGCAGAGAGATAAGGGACTGTTTTTACACCTTTGCTTAGTTTTAAAACTTCTTAGTGTAACCCTTATCAGTTCCAGTCGCCAGATAGAGGATTCGCCCATGCTACG